ATGCTCCATGTGCTTTGAGAAGGACTAACATGTATTTACCTAAATGCTACCGTAATATCTGTTGCCACCAGACAGGGAATCAGTCAGGCTTCAGAGCTTGATAACCATGACTTCTTGTATTGTGGAACAACATTTTGGATATTTAGATGCATTGATGCCTAATGATTGTATTGCCTTTTTTCTGCCCTTACTCTTTGAAAAACAAATACCTGGGCCTGTGAGTTTGTTCTTATGATATGATTCTTAAAATGCTTAGGATATATTGTCCAAATGGCAAGCACCCAAGAATCCCGTTTTTTAAGCTAGGAATTTCCCCAGTTTGTCCGTAATTTTGAATTACTATAAACAATGAAAAAGAAAACAAAACCAAAAATGGAGGGATTGGTATGTATCAGCATCCCTGTGCTGATAAATAGAAAAAGGGGGGGGGGGGGGGGGGGGGAGGGGGAGAGAGAAAAAGAGAGAGAATAGCACATAGGAGGCTAGGAGGAGCAGGGCAAGATAAAAACGGTATTTGATTACAGACTATCAATATCTAGGATTTTTTTAAATTCTCTCAAAAAATGGAAATATATATGGCTATATAATTTCCTTTTTCAGTAGGAAAATCCATTGGTAAAAAAAGACCATCTAGAGAACAATTGCCAGACCTAACTGCAAAACTGCTATGATTGACCCAGTCATTTTGGAAGGTCAGACATCCCTTTTATCACTTGTGAGAACAGACAGTAATTCCAATCCATGAGACAATGATTCCAAGATTACTCTCAGAGCTCAGTGTAAAACCCGAGATTTATTATAAAAAGAGTAAAAGTTATCAAAAATCTTACTTTTCCTTTTCCTTACTTCATGTTTATGCCCACTTGATGTTCCTGATAGCAAATATGAAGTTTTATTTTTAAGAACAATTAATTTTACATTGAATTTTAAAGCCAGCAACAGGGAAGGGATGAATATTGAATTTTCATTCAGCAATATGTGCCTTACTGTCCGCCCACTTTGATTTTTTATCTTGTCTACTTGTAAATCTGTTTTATAAACTGAGATACTAGTTTATTGACTTGGTAAAAATCCTATTTTTTTATATCTTCCCACACAGCCATTGACAAAATCATATTCTGTTTTTTTGTTCCCCAGTGTTCCTGAGGAGTACAAAAAGTTGACAACTTTTTTAATTGCCTTTTCCCCATCTCCCTGGCTCTAGTAATGAATCTTGTCTATTGTCCAACCCTCTGGACACTTGTGTGCCTTCTACTTACATTGCCATTTAAGCTAAGATAAAAATTGTCTCTTGAGGCCCAGGTAAAATAGCAAAGCAGATTTAACCACTCCAAAATTGGAAACCTGCCCATATCCTAAAAGAAGCTGACAGAAGTAGTTGCAGCACATAAAGACCTTCAAATCGCTTTCCTTCCCTTCCCTAGTATCCACTAACAGTGTCCACTAATTTTACACCAATCTGTTGTTCCCAGGGAGCAAAAACAGAAAGTAAGCAGGGAATTCTTGGTACACAGAGAATACAGTATTGAGGGTAAAAACAAGAATTCATAGGACCCAGCCCAGGTTTAGGTGTCTTAGTTCATTCACTGCTTCCTGGAAGGAAGTACGAGCAACTGGAGGCAAGTAAATGGGGGTGACGGGGGGG